AAATAGACAACATAAAAAATAAAAATGTTGGGTCAATTTGATCGAGGAGTAATATGCAATTATTGCAAGAAGCCCGGGCACCTCCTCAAAGAATGTAGAAAATTGTTGTTCAAAAAACAAGGAAATCAGCTTCCTCATGTTGCTTCCGCTGCCAGTTCATTTGATGAATCAATTGCTATTTCTTCAGACGAGTATGCCAAATTTATTTGCTACCAAGAATCTCTAAAGCATTCATATGTCCCTATCTCGGCAACCACGAATTCAGGTATTTCAAACACATGTCTTGTTTCATCATCCTCGAAATGGGTCATTGACTCAGTTGCCACAGATCATATGACTGGTAATACTAGTCTATTCTCGTCATTTCATTCATATTTACCTATTTCTAGTGTCACTTTAGCTGATGGATCTACCTCACCCGTTCTTGGATCTGGTACTGTTGTTCCAACTTCTACATTACCATTATCGCCTGTTTTGAGTCTTCCTAATTTTGCATTTAATCTGCTTTCCTTCAGTAAAATCACTCATACTCTTAATTGTTTTGTAACATTTTTTCCTGGATATTGTGTGTTCAGGATCTGTTAACGAAGCAGATTATTGGTAAAGGACATGAGTCAGCTGGTCTTTATATTTTGGATACATCCATCACAAAAGGTATCTCTTGTCTTGGGGTTGGAGCTTTGTTAGATGCTCATTACCGATTAGGGCATCCATCTCTCCCATTAATGAAGCAAATACATCCCCAATTTAATAAGATGACCTCTTTACAATGTGAGTCATGTCAATTTGCGAAACACCATCGTACTAGCTTAAGCCCACGAGTTAATAAACGAGCAAATGCTCCATTTGACCTTGTTCACTCTGATGTTTGGGGTGCTTGCCCAGTTGTGTGTAAAGCTGGTTTTAAATATTTTGTTACCTTTGTTCATGACTATTCTCATATGACATGGCTGTATTTCATGAAACGTCGATCTGAGTTGTTCACACATTTTTCTTTCTTTTGTGCTGAAATTAAAACTCAGTTTAATGTTTCTATTCGGGTGTTTAGAGGAGACAATGCCCAAGAATATCTATCTGCTACATTTAAGTCATTTATGCTTCAACATGGCATTATTCATCAAACTTCATGCGTTGACACACCTCCTCAAAATGGAGTTGCAGAACGAAAGAACCGACATATGTTAGAAACTGTAAGGGCTCTTCTATTCCAAATGAATGTGCCTAAACAGTTTTGGTCAAATGTTGTGTTGCTGTGTCTACTGCATGTTTTTTTATAAATCGAATCCCATCTTTTGTTTTGAATGGTAAAGCTCCTTATCATTGTCTATTTCCAAACAAAGAGCTTTTTCCTATCCCACCTAAAATATTTTGTTGCACTTGTTTTGTTAGAGATGTTAATCCTCATCTTACAAAGTTAGATCCCAAATCATTAAAATGTATTTTCTTGGGTTATTCTTGAGTCCAAAAGGGGTATAGATGTTTTTGTCCGAGTATTGGTCGGTATCTTCCTTTCTATTGATGCATCATTTCATGAAAATACACCTTTTTCATCATCTAAGGCAGATATTCATGATGATATACTCATTTACACGATGACTATTCCTGAGTCCACACTTTCGACAAATATTCCACAAGTTACTGTTCCTGACCCTATGCCTCCCGTACATTTGGTATACACCCGTCGACACAAAGCACCGGATCACCCTCCACCGGTGATACCTGTGATTACTTATCCTGATACTAGTTCGACTCTGATCTCATGTCCTAAACCAGTACCTGCATCTTTAGATCTTGTCTCCACATCAGATCTTGACCTCCCAATAACACTACGTAAAGGTACACGGTCTTGTACTCGTCCTATTTCTTCATTTGTGTCGTACAATCAGTTATCTCCTGCTTCATGTTCTTTTATTGCTTCCATTGATTCTATTTCTGTTCCCAAATCTGTCAAAGAAGCTTTGTCTCATCCCAAATGGCGTCATGCCATGGTAGAGGAAATGAATGCTTTAGATCTTAATGGTATTTGGGATTTGGTTGACTTGCCTACAGGGAAGACATCTATTGGATGTAAGTGGGTCTTTGCTGTTAAGGTTAACCCAGACGGATCTGTTGCTTGGTTGAAAGCCCGATTAGTTGCGAAGGGTTATGCTCAAACCTATGGTGTTGATTATTCTGACACTTTTTCTCCTGTTGATTAACATCTGTCATGTTACTTATTTCACTCGCTGCAACTTATGATTGGCACTTGCATCAGTTGGACATTAAAAATGCATTTTTGCATGGTGACCTTAAGGAAGAAGTCTATATTGCGCAACCTCCGGGATTTGTTGCTCAGGGGGAGTATGGTAAAGTTTGTCGACTTCGCAAATCTCTTTATGGTCTTAAACAAAGTCCTCGTGCATGGTTTGGGAAATTCAGTCAATCAATTGAACAATTTGGAATGATAAAAGGCAAATCAGATCACTCTGTCTTTTACAAACAAACAGAATCAGGTGTCACATTGCTTGTGGTGTATGTTGATGATATTGTGATTACAGGGAGTGATCATGCAGGTATTTTGGCCCTTAAGAATTTTCTGCATAGTCAATTCCAAACGAAAGATCTTAGCTCTTTGAAATACTTTCTGGGAATTGAAGTAACACGAAGTTAGAAAGGCATATTTCTACCTCAACGTAAATATGTACTTGACTTGCTAGCTGAGACAGGGAAATTAGGGGCAAAACCAAGTACAACACCCATGGTTCCCAACGTGCAACTCACTCAAGAAGGCACACTGTTTGAAGACCCAGAAAGATATAGAAGACTGGTTGGAAAGCTTAATTAGAGCATATGCTTTAGAATATATTAGGAATATACCATATATAGGATTATTGTATAGCATCTTTTATAGGAATATTCTGTCTTTGTAATCTATATTTATAAGGCCTTACCCTTCAATGAAATACACAGAAAATCCTTTCCTCTCCAATATTATTTCTTAGTTAATATGCTCTATTTCAACAGGGATCAACAACAGTTCTCAGCTATGGGGATCACAAATGGTAAGTTGAAGGTCATGGGAAGAAACAATATTGAAGGCCTGATGATCTGGGAGCTAGAGAACAAACACTCGTCTTCTATATTTAAAAAAGAGCCAAACAGACCTGCATTTGTTGTTAGCTATGGCAATTATTATATGTTTATGGGGGAGGAATATGGTTATGTGTCTATTTTGAAAAATGATGTCGGGAAAGGACAGATTGGACCATTGCCACATTATATTTCTTCGAATCTCGCAACCGATTTGGATTTAAGGCACGACCAATCATCTATTGTTGGTTTGCTTCCCCACTCATGTTCATTTGGGAAGGGAATCAGAATTGATGATGAAAATGGATTTTTCAACCTTAGGGACATTACAGAAGATAAAACTGTTCTGGTCAGAGGTCAACATCATCGACAAGCAAAGGAAACGCTTTCAACAAATTTATGGGAGTTCATTTTGACAATGTCGGGCAGCAAGAGGTTTGTAAAGTTAAAATTGCATAACTTGAGGGAGTTGGCATACTGTGTCATCACTCTTCTGCAGATGACAGAGCAGCAGGTCCACAAAGGCTTGAAGGATGCCATAACATTGAGTTTTTATAGTCACAAGTTCCTGCAACTCAAAAACAGTTAACTGCTGCAGATGGAGAAACACAGCACAAAGACTCAAATCCACTTGAACCTTCTCTTCATATGTGTGCGGATGAAGTTCTGTATGAGTTTTTCAGTGAGGAACATCCTTCAAGGGATAGGTTGAAAGCTTTGAGACATGCAATACTGAAGGGGGTCAAGGGACTAGGAGTGAAGCTACTAAAGCTCATGGTTCATCAATCAGGGAGATACTGGGAAGGAAGAGGCTCCAGGATGAAGATGAAGTTGAAGATCAAGGCTTTGTCCTATCACCCACCTTGAGGACAAGGTGGTTTTACAAGAGGGGAGAGATGATAGGGTCCTGGGCTGTAGAGAATAATAATAGTAATAGGTTGTATTAAATAATTATGGTAGTCTAAAAATAAGAGTTACAGGCCAGGTAAGTCATGGGTTTGGGACTTTGGGCCAGCCCTTTAGAATAGAATTAGTATAAGAGTGAGAGGAAGGAAAAGAAGGGGGGTAGGTAGAATTTAATCTGAACCTGGGAGTGCTGAGACTACTCGAAGTGTCTCGATCTCTTTCTTCTCTAATTTCTGTTTACGCCATTGTAATCCGGTTGAAGTTCTGAAACCTCATCAATACACTACTAAATTCTACTGTTTTGCTGGAGGGTTCTAACAAAATATGTCTTCACTTATGTTTGAAGCATGATAATTGGTAAGTAGAGTAATAGCATTAGACTGTATGAATTAACTAATAAGTACTCCATAACAAAACTGGAAATGGTTTACTAAAAATTTAAAAAATAAAAACTGGAAATGGTTTACTTTGTAAATGTATAACAATGTTGAAGCAACACTCCCACACAACTTGCTGTTGCGGTGAAACGGTGGTGAGGTGGCACTTGTATGCGGCATGTCAGGAGATCAAATACCGCCTCAAATGTATCTTTGTTGGATCATTTTCTGGGTTTTTCCAGTTTTAAAGGTGGTGAGGTGGTACGGATTGACACGGGTTATCAGGTAAATGCGGTTTTGATCAATTTAACAGTTCGATAATCAGCCGGACTGGATTGGAGACTGGGTTGCCCTGTTCCGGGTCGTCCTGCCCGGTGCGGTTCGGTTCTTTCAATATAGGTTTTAAGCTCTTCTGCTATTTACCAAACGAAACTTGTAGCCTATTTGAAGCCTAAAATAAGCTCTGCCAAACATACACAAAATATAGCTTATGGTGGGCCAAAAATAGCCATGATTATTACAAAGAAAAGTAAAAAAGAAAACCAGTCCACAAAGAAAAGTAAAAAAAGAAAACCAGTCCACCGCATCATGCCATGAATCAATAAATACTGATGTACATATAAAGAAGAATTTGAGATGAGAAGGGACCTTTATACCCAAAGCATTCCATTTTTCTAGGGCTTCAGGCACATCATCATAAACAATTGCCTCCAGTTCATTATTCTGAAACCCAGTCCGCCAAACATGGCCCTGAATGACACACAGGAGGGGACTATCAGAAACAGTAGTCTCAAGTTTGAAATCAAAGAGCAGATTGTTTTTTAATACCCCCAAGACAAAAACATAAACATCTTCTGCTTAGGCTAACCTGTAATTGTTTTAAGGAAGTAATCTTACGGTCAGCTTTAATCATTGAGTCCACATTGGTAACCAAAGCTGCCACTACCTCCTCTTTTCCTGCATCTTCAGCAGGGACAGCCACAGCACCGGCAATCCCTTTATCTAAATCTTCTTTTACCTGATGCAATAACAAATAAATAAATAATAGTCACTATTTATCACAAGGTATTGAAAATGGGTCAGGGAACTGGCACCTAATCCAGTCTAGCCAGCCCACTAAACAGGTTTTGATGTGAATCAGTGGAGAAGCAGTTTACACCTTGTAAGAGTGAAACGGCAGTTAGACCTATTTCCTGCTCAAAACTTCAAAATCAAGTTATTGTTGATTTTGGTTTTCCTACTATTTAATTAACATCTAGAAACCAATAACCTATTTAAATAAACGTTATTATTTCAAACTGCTCTCCTTGCTTGAACAATGTGATTGTTGAAATATAAACTAGAATAATATTGAAAGTGGAGGAAAGATTTTCTGTATGTTTCATTGAAGGGTAAGGCCCTATAAATATAGATTACAAAGATAGAATATTCCTACAAAAGATGCTACACAATAATACTATATATGGTATATTCCTAATATATTCTAAAGCATATTCTAAAGTATATTCTAATATACTTTCACACTCCCTCTCAAGTTGGAGCATAGATATTTATCATGCCCAACTTGTTACATAAATAACCAACTCGAATTCCATTTAGTGCTTTAGTGAACAAATCTCCAAGTTGTTCCCCAGTCTTCACATATCCTGTAGAGATCAATCCTTTTTGTATTTTCTCTCGAATAAAATGACAATCGACCTCAATATGCTTTGTTCTCTCATGAAATACAGGATTGTTTGCTATGTGTATAGCAGCTTGGTTATCACACCACAATTTAGCAGGCATTGATGTCTTCAGTCCGAGCTCGGTCAATAAATGGCTTATCCATATGATCTCACATGCAGATTGTACCATAGCTCGATATTCTGATTCGGCACTCGAACGAGAAACCACATTCTGCTTCTTACTCTTCCAAGATACAAGATTACAACCAACAAAGACACAATAACCAGATGTAGATCTTCGATCATCTTTAGAACCGGCCCAATCAGCATCTGCAAAACATTCTATTCTCATGTGATCATGGTTTTGATAAACAATACCTCGTCCTGGTGCACCCTTTAAGTAACATAATATGTGTTCTACTGCAGCCCAATGATCAATGGTTGGAGATGACATGTATTGACTCACTACACTCACAGAATAGGCAATATCTGGACGCGTGACAGCGAGATAATTAAGCTTTCCAACCAATCTTCTATATCTTTCTGGGTCTTCAAACGGTGTGCCTTCTTGAGTGAGTTGCACGTTGGGAACCATGGGTGTTGTACTTGGTTTGGCCCCTAATTTCCCGGTCTCAGCTAGTAAGTCAAGTACATATTTACGTTGAGATAGAAATATGTCTTTCTTACTTCGTGTTACCTCAATTCCCAGAAAGTATTTCAAAGAGCCAAGATCTTTCGTCTGGAATTGACTATGCAGAAAATTCTTAAGGGCCAAAATACCTTCATTATCACTCCCTGTAATCACAATATCATCAACATACACCACAAGCAATGTGACACCTGATTCTGTTTGTTTGTAAAAGACAGAGTGATCTGATTTGCCTTTTATCATTCCAAATTGTTCAATTGATTGACTGAATTTTCCAAACCACGCACGAGGACTCTGTTTCAGACCATTAAGAGATTTGCGAAGTCGACAAACTTTACCATACTCCCCCTGAGCAACAAATCCCGGAGGTTGCTCAATATAGACTTCTTCCTTAAGGTCACCATGCAAAAATGCATTTTTTATGTCCAACTGATGTAGGTGCCAATCATGAGTTGCAGCGAATGAAATAAGTAACATGACAGATGTTAATTTAGCCACAGGAGAAAAAGTGTCAGAATAATCAACACCATAGGTTTGAGCATAACCCTTCACAACTAATCGGGCTTTCAATCGAGCCACAGATCCGTCTGGGTTAACCTTAACAGTAAAGACCCACTTACATCCAATAGATATCTTCCCTGTAGGCAAGTCAACCAAATCTCAAGTACCATTAAGATCTAAAGCATTCATTTCCTCTATCATGGCATGACGCCATTCAGGATGAGACAAAGCTTCTTTGACAGATTTGGGAACAGAAATAGAATCAATGGAAGCAATAAAAGAACATGAAGCAGGAGATAACTGATTGTACGACACAAATGAAGAAATAGGATGAGTACAAGACTGTGTACCTTTACGTAGTGCTATTGGGAGGTCAAGATCTGATGTGGAGACAAGATCTGAAGATGCAGGTACTGGTTCAGGACATGAGATCGGAGTCGAACTAGTATCAGGATAAGTAATCACAGGTATCGCCGGTGGAGGGTGATCCGGTGCTTTGTGTCGACGGGTGTATACCAAATGTACGGGAGGCATAGGGTCAGGAACAGTAACTTGTGGAATATTTGTCGAAAGTGTGGACTCGGGAATAGTCATCGTGTAAATGAGTATATCATCATGAATATCTGCCTTTGATGATGAAAAAGGTGTATTTTCATGAAATGATGCATCAATAGAAAGGAAGATACCGACCAATACTCGGACAAAAACATCTATACCCCTTTTGGACTCAAGAATAACCCAAGAAAATACATTTTAATGATTTGGGATCTAACTTTGTAAGATGAGGATTAACATCTCTAACAAAACAAGTGCAACCAAATATTTTAGGTGGAATAGGAAAAAGCTCTTTGTTTGAAAATAGACAATGATAAGAAGCTTTACCATTCAAAACAGAAGATGGCATTCGATTTATCAAAAAACATGCAGTAGACACGGCATCTGCCCAAAACTGTTTAGGCACATTCATTTGGAATAGAAGAGCCCTTGCATTTTCTAACAGATGTCGGTTCTTTCGTTCTGCAACTCCATTTTGAGGAGGTGTATCAACGCATGAAGTTTGATGAATAATGCCATGTTGAAGCATAAATGACTTAAATGTAGCAGATAGATATTCTTGGGCATTGTCTCCTCTTAACACCCGAACAGGAACGTTGAACTGAGTTTTAATTTCAGCACAAAAGGAAGAAAAATGAGTGAACAACTCAGATCGACGTTTCATGAAATACAACCATGTCATACGAGAATAGTCATCAACAAAGGTAACAAAATATTTAAAACCAGCTTTAGACACAACCGGGAAAGCACCCCAAACATCAGAGTGAACAAGGTCAAATGGAGCATTTGCTCGTTTATTAACTCGCAGGCTTAAGCTAGTACGATGGTGTTTCGCAAATTGACATGACTCACATTGTAAATAGGTCATCTTATTAAATTGGGGATTTATTTGCTTCATTAATGGGAGAGATGGATGTCCTAATCGGTAATGAGCATCTAACAAAGTCCCAACCCCAAGAAAAGAGATACCTTTTGTGATGGATGTATCCAAATAATAAAGACCAGCTGACTCATGTCCTTTACCAATAATCTGCTTCGTTAACAGATCCAGGAAAAAATATTACAAAACAATTAAGAGTACGAGTGATTTTACTGATGGAAAGCAGATTAAATGCAAAATTAGGAAGACTCAAAACAGGCGATAATGGTAATGTAGAAGTTGGAACAGTACCAGATCCAAGAACGGGTGAGGTAGATCCATCAGCTAAAGTGACACTAGAAGTAGGTAAATATGAATGAAATGACGAGAATAGACTAGGATTACCGGTCATATGATCTGTGGCACCTGAATCAATGACCCATTTCGATGATGATGAAACAAGACATGTGTTTGAAATACCTGAATTCGCGGCTACCGAGATAGGGACAAATGAATGCTTTAGAGATTCTTGGTAGCAAATAAATTTGGCATACTCATCTGAAGAAATAGCAACTGATCCATCAGATGAACTAGTAGCGGAAGCGACACGAGCAAGCTGATTTCCTTGATTTTTGAACAGCAATTTTCTACATTCTTTGATCAAGTGCCCCGGCTTCTTACAGTAATTGCATGTTACTCTTCTGTCAAATCCACTCGTACAAGACATGTTTTTTTTTTCTCGATTCTGTTTTTTTTTAAATCAAAACTGAGATGGCAGTATGAACTTACAGCAGCGTGCCTGGGCTCAAATTTTGGAGAACGAAATAAGTAATCCACTAGGTCTTTGGACTCAAGTAAAATAACGGACTCCAGTCAAAGCTCCAAGGCTTTGTGTTTGGACTTCCCAATAAAACGGACTGGATCCGATCTCAACAATCAGTTGAAGGGGGCATATATCCGATACCAGATGCCTGAATCCAACGACCAAATAACCAGACTACCTCCCGCCAACATAATCAAAGATTATGTTCTCTTTTCTTTTCCTTTCCCAGATTCCCATTTCCCCCATCGTTCTTCCTCCTCCAACCTGCAAAACTTCATTTTCTTTGCAAATGGCAATTCATCCATGGAATCTTGCTGCGATTTTCTTTCTTTATTTTGTTTTCTCTTTCCCGGACCCCTTTATTTGTTACTCCACCTATGACCGGCAAATATCGCCGACAACACTGTTAATTCGGAGATCGGTTTTTGCTCATAACTCAAATGTAGGCGATTGTTTTTTTATTTTTGAGACTAGATTAGAGTTATCTAGCTAGGGACAACTCTCCGTATCAATTTTGAGCAGGTGAGAACTAGTTTTGGGGGTGGCTTGTAGCTGGCCGGCATCTGTTCACATTTCTCATTTTTGGACTCCGGCATTTTTTCCGGCGACTTTAGGGCTCGGTCGGAAAATACAGAATATGTAAATGAGGTCTATGTGATGAGGCGCACCTCCTCATATTTTTAGTTTAATTTTCCGAGCACCATCAATTTCAGCGTCTACTGTTCACCTGCCCTGCGACCCTACTGCTGCGATGGAGAAGAATGGTGGAGAGAAAGAAAAGAAAGAATGAAAAAAGAAAAGGAAAAAGAGAAGAAAAGGAAAAAGAAAAGTAAAAAGTGATGTGGCCGCCACATGTGTGCTGCATACTTGTCACGGCGGTAAGTCGAGTCACAGCGCCAACCGACCGCCATATCGCCTAGGCGATAAGGCGCCCGCCTAGGTGACAATTAGGCGACTAGTCACCTATATATGAATATTATGTATATATTCATATATATATAATTAAACTATGCAAAATATGTATATCATACGTAGTACTCCCTCAGTCCCATTTTGCAAGATACTTTTCCTATTCATTTGGTCAACACAAATCACTCTTAATCTCTAACTTTATATATCAATTTTTTTTATCAAATTTGATCTGTTTGCTTTATCGTTGATCAAACATCGTAAACCATAAAGTGTCTTATAATTCGGGACAAAGGGAGTATATATATCAGTATATACTACTTTTTAGGAATATTTTTAATAGTTTATTATTTTATAATTTACTACTTCCATCCCGTTGGACTTTTCCAAGTGCAAAGTAGGTGAGATATAAGAATAGTAATAACTGTGTGGTTGAGATTTGTGCAGAGGAGAGAGAAATGTGCAAAACCACAAATTAATTGCTTTAATAGAAAATTGCAAAGTTTTTTGGGACAACAAAAAAGGGAAAGTTGGCAAAGTCCAATGGGACGGAAGGAGTATAACATATAATAAATAGAAGTCTCAAAGGCTAGGTATATCAATATATCATTATATCATATTACATATTATCATGATTATATAATATAGAAGTATATATATATACACATATCATCATCATCATCATTATCATCATTATCCCAGTGCCGGAAATGCTCTCACCTAAGGTAGGATAAGGGGGTCGGATGTACGCAATCTTACCCCTGTACTAAAGCACAGAGAGACTGTTTCCAGATGACCCATGGTGAAAATCACATGCAAAATTGCAAAGACTGACTGTTGTTTCATAACATATATTGATAGATATATATATATAAATACACCCTATCAATATATATACACAACTTAATAAATTAAAATAATAAAAAATGACGCCAAGAAGAAGAGATCGGGGACTGGGGACTGGGAAGTCGTCTGCTACTCTGCTTCCGCGAGCGAGGGACTAAAGGAGGGTGATACCTGCGAGTTTGTCTTCGTCGTGGAGTTGATCATCTGCTTCCTGCGACTCTTCGAGGCTGTGACTTGGCTTGACTATACGACTTTGGGCAACAAATCATCGGTAAGGTAGATTACTATGGGCTTGCTTTTAATTAAAGCCTAAATCTATTTTTATTTGGGTTATGGGCCTGCACCATAGCGGTCCGGCTTTCCAACAAGGCGAGGACTTCGTCCACAAAACATCGCCTAGATGACGCCTAGACGACACCATTAACGACTACTCTTCATCTGGCGAGGCGAGTGAAGCTGGCGAGCAGTCCCTAGCACCAGGACACCTAGGCGACGTCGTGACAAACATGGTGTGCTGTGTCAGGTCACGTGTGTGCCACGTGTGCGCCACGTCAGCAAGTAACCTGTTGACCTGCGGGCTACCTGCTAAAAGTCGGTTTTGGCGAAAATTATAAAGTAGGAGGACCTAATTGATGAAACTTAAAGTATGAGGGCTAAATTGACTTTTGGTACAAACTAAGAGGGTCAATCTAAGAGGGTCAATCTGAAACTTTTCTCTTTATATTATTATAATTATAATATATTTATATCTTTTTGTAGCAGTCCATATTTATCGTTTAGAAATATCTCTAGGATATACGGCTAGAAGAGCAGACATTATAAAGCTCAACTTACTTGAGCTCTTAGTAATTTGATGTCATCGCGAGTTTCTGCAGTGTCATAAGTGATATCCAAATGTCTCCCCACATTATCCCGAGCATAAGGAAACAGCACATCAGATACAAATGATATTGGGGTGGTGGTTCCTTCAATATCCAAAAGGATGCAACGCTGCAAAAACAAGTAGCTAAATAAATAAAAAATAAGTGGTGGCCTCACCTAACATTTTTACTATTTAAAAGGAAACGTCTGCAACTGACTCTTGATGCCCTGGAATTATGTAAACTGCCAAAAGCACCAATAGGTTTACGAATGGGGCCGTGAGTTGATGTTGTCCAGTCAAGTCCTAACTGATTGAGTTTAATCGCAGCATCAAACAGGTAGTGATAGCATTCAGCCTGGAATAAATTGTGTGAAAACAAAAGTTGGAAGAAAAGCATTAAAAACCACAAAGCCAATAAAACCATGTATTTAAGAAAATTGTTTAGGCCTTGGGGGCGGGGCACTAGTTCCAATCAAAATATATGAAGCAAAAATAAACTTATAAAGTAAAAGATGAATTATCACACAGTTATTATACCAGACAACAAAAATTAGACACACAAGAACCCTAGCCAAAGAGAAAAACAGTACTTCAATATTTTGGCACTACTTTACATGTGACCTTTTTAGGTGTCTGAAAATTGAATACAGAACACAAGAAAATCCATGAGCCACGTTGACTTCTCCTTCTACGCTACGACCCAAGAGCCACGTTGACTTCTCCTTCTATGCTACGACCCAAGATGAAGCCGGAAGGATCCAGAATCCAAGCTGCCATTACTTGAGGGATGATGCAGAGATAGGAGGAGCCAGGCATCTGGTGGCAAGCAAATATCATGTCGATGTGATCTTCTCTGTTTCATGCTCTAAATCCTAACTGATGTTGCAGATCTGGAAGAAGTGTTTTCAATGAGAGAGGTGAGAAACCAGATCTGGCAAAGGAGGCCAATGAGGACATTGTTGATAATGTATAGATTGACAAAGAGGGAATCGTTGCAGATCCAGGAATTGATAGTGGAATTAGCCTATCAATAATAATGCAACACATGTGACCTATAATTTTTCATGACTTCTGCAAGAACTTATATTTCAAAATGAGAGAACTTTGTCTGTACAGGATTCTTTGTTATGGAATCTCTAAGATATGATGCGGTCCTTCATTTCCGGCACCAATCCACACCGTATCTGATTTTTACAATTCTGGACTTCTGCTTCTGGTTTCTGAACTCCTGAGGTTGGATGGTGAGTAGAGATAACGCTGATGAGAAGTGGAAAGTGTGAAGATGATTGCTTGGGAGAGACGGCTATACTTCTCCTTGTTTGCTGGGGAGCTGCTGACATCTCAGTGCAGACAGGTAGCGCCACCTTTTGGTGGAGAACTTTGGCTGGTGAGGATGCGGAAATCCATGTGGATTTATGTAATATTCCCGTGTTCCCAGAGAAGAAAATTAGTTAGAGGAGAGAGAGAATAGAATGTAGAGAGAGATAGAAAAGAGGAATGGCATATTATTTCTGCCCTTCATTCATAATGTTTCCCTGTTCTTATAATGTCCATAAACATGTAATACAGAGTACTAAATGATGAGATGAGTCTGGCCCATACTGACCCATACAGTTTAATATTAAATATATAAAGATAAGACTGGCCCATTGCAGACCAGTAGTTAATGCTTAATATTAAAATAGATCCTGGATAAAAAAAAAGGACCGGCCCACTCATTGATCTCCATGCTCGCCTCTCTGTGTCCCCATCGTCTCCGGTAGATCGGCAAAGGCAGGTCTTTTACCCAATTCCTTCCATTCCATAGCTTTCAAGACAATTTATTTTTGTATTTGAGCCCACTCAGCATTTTTCAATTGTTTATAAACATATAGAAGTTTACAAAAGAGAGAAAATTCAGACTGATTTGCTTGCTCTTTTCCCTGGTATGTACTACTACTTATACAATGATTTAGTTCATGGTATAGAAGTTTAGAAAAGAGAGAAAATTCAGACTGATTTGCTTGCTCCATTCCCTGGTATGTACTACTACTTATACAATGGTTTAGATTTCCTACAGGATAAGATTGCAATACTAATTACAATTATTATAACGGCTGTAACGGAAGATTATAATACAACAAAAACATTCAAGCTTTAATCCCAAAAGAGTTTGGGATCGATTAACATGAATCGATGCATTAAATTGGATTTAAAAAGATAAGAAAGAGAAAGAATGACTCAAGTAAGACTGTAGGCTTTTAACTTGACAAAAATGAGACCTTATTTTAATATGGACAAAAAAGAGATTAAATAGATCTTAAAAGTACCAAATTATCCCCAATTCTCAAATTCCATCTGCCGTTTAATGCATCGATTAACATGAATCGATGCATTAAATCACCCGTTTGCATTCAATCTGCGGTCTTCATCTTCCCACGCCAAATGTATCAAAGCTTCGTACAGCGAGCAGCGATGGAGAATGGTGACGACTAGGCAAGCGTCGATGGCTAGCAGTGACGGCAAGCGACGAGCGGTGATGCGAACAGTGATGGAGAGTGGCGACTACTCGGCGACGCAGATCGATGTGAATCCACACAGAGCGAGTGGTGGTCGAACATTGATGTGAGCTGTAACCACTGTGAATCCTCGCCGAACATCGCTTCTTTGGTCTAAGATCAATCGGCACCACCTCAAGCCATCTGCACACTCTTCTTCTTTCTCTATAGACAATTGGGATGGGAATACAAAATCGGCCATGTGTTTCACTTCTTCTACTACTAGGAACGAACATTGGGGCATTGGAGATCACAGGGGGTCCTGGGGCAGTTAGGATCGGTTAGGGAGGGGGGGAGGGGGGGAGGGTGGTCGGCGCTGGTGGTTGGTTACTGCAGTGGTCGCTGGCTAGGGTAATGTTGTTCATTGGGGCGACGTCATTGGTCACAGGGGTGGCGGCGTTGGTCAGTGGCAATGACAACAGTTGGTTACTGGGCTGGCAGATGTTGCGCTGGACGGGCGGACAATGGTCACTCGACGGACGGACGTTGGTCCCAGGATGGGCGGACATTGGTCACTTAACGGGCGGAAGTCACTGTGTCACTGGGCAGAATTTTTTGTCACTAATAATTTTTGGTCACTGACGGATTTTTTATTTTCAGTCACTAATGATTTTTGGTCACTGACAAATTTTGGTCACTATAGTGTTACTGGTCACTGTGACATTACCGCAGCACCAATGGGTGAGATCATATTAGTATAAGGGTGTAATAGTTTCCTAACATCTTTTTAGTCTCATTTTTGGAAACTGGGAAAAGATGCAACTCTTTTATCCATAGCTCTCTTTTTAGTTATATTTTACACATAACCAATAAGAAAGATAAGAAAGATAAAAGGATTACAAAAAAGACAAAGGCAAAAATATAAGATAAAACTAGAAATGATAAGATAAAAAGCATAAAAATATAAGATAAATAAGAATAAAAAGATACAGAACATAGGAAAGATAAAGAAGATAAAAAGATAATAAAAGGACAAAATAGATGAAAAGAGATCAATGCTACACACGAATATTCTCCATCAGTTTGTTCTCTCCAAAGTCATATTTTCATCCAACCTAAGCAAAAGCATATCACTCTTAGACTCTTCTAATTCATTTATGTTTGAGTCTTCTTTCCCCTCTCCTCTCTGCCTCTTCTCCCCACCTCTCAACTCTAGTTCACCGTCTTTCTAAATTTTGGAGTCCAATTAACGGAACATACCACTGACTGATATGTCTTTCCCATTTAGGGCAATCCCACCTTCCATCTCCACCAACACTGACATACTCAATCTTGCTTCAATCAGGCATGAAACCCTTCTTCTCCAAAGTTTGTAACCATACTTCCAACCTTTCTTTAACACCCAAATATGTCACATCAATCAATGCAATAGCATCAACAAACATCATGCACCACGGTATATATTCTTGAATTGACTTCGTAAGATCATCCATGGCTATAACGAACAAGAAAGGACTCAGAGTCGATCCTGATGCACTACGATAGTCATAGGGAACTCTGCAGTCCACCTGATACTAGTACAAACACTTGTAGTACAACTCTCATACATATCCATGGTGATGCTAGTTAAGGATGACAATGGGGGCAGGGACCCGTGGGGAACCACCCCGCGAGGGAAGGATGGGGCGAGGCTTTGGGTGGGGCGGTGGCAGGGATGAGTGAGATTTCTACCCCGCTAAAAAAAATATGGGGCGGGGATGGGGATTACTACACCCGCCTGTTAGGAATTAGGGCTTCGACGAATACACGCACACACACGATTGTAAGATGCAAGATTTAAAGAAGAACACAAGAATTTAAAGTGGTTCACCGGTCAAACTGACCGGCTAGTCCACTGTGCCAATCAGAGAGATTTTATTACTGAGAGAATGCTATTACACTTTCTGGTGATATCTGTTTAGAGTTCACTAATGATCTATTTATAGAGATGGAAAGAAAATTCCAGAGAATGGGCTTTCTTTGGTCCCAAGAAACCTAGCTTCGGCCCCAAGTTACCAAGCTTTGGCCCCAAGCAATATAGCTTTGGCTCCAAGTAACTGAACTGCCTTTGGACCCAAGCAACTGATCATCTTTCCTTCACCAATTTGAGTGGATCAGATCTCCACCACCCAACAATCTCCCACTTGGAGGCTGATCAACTCTCTGATTAGCTGCCGCCATCCAAGACTCGATCTCTGTGAAAACCTTCCTCTCTCTGCAATCTCTCTTTCTATCTTCATCTCTAGTTCGCGCCTTTTCTTCAATCAACTTGAAGGTCAGTTGAAGCCAAAGCTTCAGCTTCTTTGTTATTTGAACTCCCACTGCTTCCTGAAGTCTCACCTGAGCTCCCACTGGAAACCGAGTCTTCAACCAAGTTCTCACTGCTTTCTGAACCCCCACTTGCCCCTGAGTTCTTTCTGTGACTTAGATCTAACTTTTCTGTTCTCATTGCAACCTGGAGTCTCAACTGATTTCATGTTGAAACCACAACTCTCTTTGCTCCCACTACAACCTGAAATCTCAAGTGATTTCATGTTGGAACCTTGACTCTCTTTGCTCCATCTACAACCTGAAATCTCAATCGATTTCATGCAGGAACCTGAGTCGATATAGAAACTTTTTCTGTCACTGCAACTTGAGGTAGGGATGTGCACATTTGTATGAACCTGTTTCTTTCTCCAAACTTTGGTTGGCTGTTTCTTCTTGAGGAACGTTACGCTTTTCTGTCTGCCATGAACACATGGCTCAGCAAAAGTAACTGTCACATTCTTCAGATTTTTGCCTCTAGAAATGTTTTTCTTCATACTCGTCCCTTTCTCTTCAGTTGTTGCTTCTGCTCAATCAGAAATCTCAACCATGTATAATGATCCACTTCTCTGACCTCGAGCAATTACCAAGTTTTCCTTCGTCACCTTCCATTTATGGTCTCCAAAGTCGACATGATGGCCTTCATTGTCTAACTGCCCTACTGATATTAACTTTCTCTTCAAGTCCGGAATATATCTAACATTTTTCAATGTCCAATTCGTACCAAGAGATGTCTTGAGGACAACATCCCCAATACCCATAATATTTAGGATCCTGTTATCTGCCAATCTGACTTTACCACGTTAGTGTCTCGAATTCTGCATAATCTCCTTTGATGAGTTGGCATGGAATGAAGCACCAGAATCCAAGGAACCATCTTACAACTTACAACATTCCAACCAGGATGAGCTAGGACAAGTACCCAACTTCCCTATTGAACCAAGGCATCAAATTCTGAAAACATAGCATACCTCGATTTGGGTCCCAAGCTTGGGAAGCACAAGTAGGAATAATATGCTGAGGTAATGGAGATTGGGTGACAAGATTGGCTTGTTTACGAGGGAGAAGGGTAACTGGATGGGTACATTTGGGTGGAGAGTTGTTTGGAACAAGATGTTGGTCCAAGGACAGTATGGGAGCATTTGTTGTGGTAGTGGTGGTTGGGGAGATGGTTGGAGTCAAAAAAAGAGGCCGGTTAAAGCTCTTACGGCTCTAATATTGTATATAAATTTAGAAAAAAAAGGAAATTCAGACTGAGTTGCACGCTCTATTTCCTGGTATGTACTGCCATAGTTGTTACGGCGAGGTTTTGCGGCGCGGCGCCTTTGGACTGCCATACCGCCATGGCGATATGGCGCCCGTCGTGGCGGAGTCGCGGCGATAAGTCGACATATAGACTAATAAATTCATAATAAGTTTTACATACTAAAAAGCCTATATGTAAAACTTATAGCCAACACTACTAATGAACTAAGTCAAGTAATAAAACATGTAATCATAGAAATAAAATAAATAAAAACAACTTAACTGAAATGTCACTAACTATTAAAAAAATATTAAATGTAAGACAACACAATCACACAATATGAATTTCAGCATAAATTCGAGACACCAAAAACATCATGAAATATAAAATAAAAAGAGAACTGATTTTTTTTTAAATTTTTTTGAATCAAACTGTACAATGTAAATACAACAAAAAAGCTAAACACTAAACGGAGTTCAACACAACAACTGTACACAACTAAACAATTAATATTGGAGTAAAGGGGTGGAAATTATAAAAACAAAACTAAACACTAAACAGTAACCGACTCAAAAAATACAACAAATACATGAACAAAACAACATAAAAAGGGGCTAAACTAGTGGAACGTGCAGACGACTGTAGACATGAGTGAGCGACGACAGATTAGAACTATAGAGAGCGACGGAAATTCCTGATTAGAACTAGTGGAGCGTGCAGACGACTGCATACGACGGACTGAAGAATGAAGCGTGCGTATGTCGTCGATGCAGATAGGTTTGTTTGTTAATTTTATTTTGGGCCTCTTCGAAATTCAGTTGGGTTTGGGTTTGGGTTTGGGCCTGTTCCAAATTAAATAACTTTACGCCTTGGGTCGTCGATTAGGCGATTTTGGCGTCTTCCCACGACACAACGACGATTCTTCGACGCCAAAGGTTTTATGGCGAGTCGAGCTCCCATGGTGATCTTCACTTCACACCACGACGATATGTCGACGATGTGGCGACGATGTATCGACGCCATAACAACTATGTGTACTGCTATTCATACAATGATTTAGGTTTCCTATAAGGTAAGATTACAATATACTAGTTACAAACTTACAATGATTGTAACAACTGTAACTAAAGATTATAAGGCTAACCGCAACCCAGTCCGTCAATAAATCTAATCCTCCTCCTGTTTATACGTATTCACTCAGCACATTTTTCTCTGCAACCCAGCACCGTCAATATATCCACTCAGCACATTTTTTTTAATTAAATGCATATATCCTTAGTTATTTTATTACACATCACTTATGTGTTAATTTTGTTTTGCCCAATAATTATTGTTTAAAAACTCAAACATTCCGATGTAAAAAAATAAAAAATGTGAATTAATTTTTTTTGTAAGCATCACAAATGCATAGTTGAGTTCAATTTGAAACAAATTTAAAACTATTAATTGTTTTCCAAATTTCTATACTATTAAAATGTGAATTATTTTGTAAGTATGCACCAAGAATCCAGCTCTCCCCACTACACTTTTTCATACGTACACAACCTATTCACTAGCCTTTTTGGCTTTTTCATCAGCAACACACCCGCAAAGACCCACGCTCTCCCACGCACCAATGAACTCCACTTCTTTGGTATTCAGATTGTCAGGCGCATTGCAGGTCAGTCCACTACTTTCCTCCAGGATAGAGTCAATTGCCCGGCCACAGATTGCTCCCCAAGGCTCTCCAGACTCCCGCTAACTCCTCCCTCTACGAAATATTCTCCCGGTTGCAGCCATTTTGGGGTGAAAACCTCACATATGGGCTTTTCACCCCATGCATTGCAATCAGCCTAATAAGTGATGAAATTATAACTCAAAACCAAAATTTACTATATGGATTTGTTTCCTTTTCTACAGGCGTCCTCTAAATTACTATTAGAGACGAACTCAAGGTGTCTGAATTGCTTGTTTAAAAAGGAAAGGGTAAAATCCACCAAAGCAAATACTAAAAGGTCAAAACTACAATTGCCGTAACAATATGTGAAATCCTTAATTCCCCATGTGACATGTTACTAAATCAGAAGAGGGCAAGGGTAGGAGCAAGAGAAGTGTTAGGCCTATATGGGCAAGGACACTGACAAGTTACTTCATCACCTACCACCCAAATCGGAAAATCCACCAATATTTGGACATATATTGAAAGGGGTGCTATATAGTGCAAAAAAACTAGAACACATCATAGAAATTTTTTCAATTTTCATCTTGCATCTATTAAATCAAGCCCACTTCTAGTCTCTCAATTTTATTTGTTTCCATTGATTTTGCATGACTATGAAGTTATAAATATAGTTCCAAAATGATCCTTCTTTGTTCAATTTCCAATCAATTTATGATAGATTTTAGATTTTCACAGGATAAGTGCCTGGCGGGACCAAAACTGCCAAGAGATATATCATATATGGCTGTGCACCAAACTAAGTAAAATGATAATTAGGGGGATGTGGAAAGTTTTCTTCTATGTTATGCAATACTCCACCAGCATATTATGTACAATCAACAAAGACATACTGACTTAGGAATTGCTAACCACATTGAGGAATCGTGAGAAGTGTTTCCTTATTAGCACCAACCTGTGTCTTAGCACTAATCCAAGAGTCTCCCCATATGTATATCCCATGGTTTCGAACCAGCACAGCTGTTGTTTTTGGGTAAGCTTTCATCTGTTTTGCATGGAACAATGACAATGGTTAAAGGGAATATGCAATATAACTACTTAAAATGTTTTTTAGGCAATTCTGCTTTTTTCTACTTGTGTGAATTTGATCTCATAATGACAACACAAAATATTTTGAAATGTAGATTTTTTATTATGTTACAATTTTATGTAATTAACATTTAATGAGGGGCTATATCATCACTTTAAGATAACATAGGGGGGATTACGGGCTAAAAGTGTTATGCTAAATTGAAGAGGCTAAATCTATTAGTTTTGTACATACAAGAAACTTAAAGTACAATTTTCCTATACTAGTATGTTTATAAGAATAATAATTATAGTACAACAATTATTATTATTAATAGATACTACCTCCGTCCCTATTTATTTAGTCATCTTTGACTTTTCCAGACAAAGATGGTAAACTTTGGTCAATCATTTTAACTACTATAATTATGTCAAACTTATAAACTTTAAACGTTTTTTTTAGGAATTATACATTTAATAATAGGAATTTTATCAATCCAGGACTTCAAAAATACGTTCACTATCAATAATGGATCTGAAAGATAAATTGTGTCAATACAGGGCCCGAATGATTGAAAACTAAAATATCATAAGTTTTGATTTATTTAATTTTTCAGGTCCCTTATCGATAGGGAACCTTAGTGCTAAGGAATCTATTGTTCATGTCTTGGATTGATAAAACTCTTATATGGTAATATGTTTAACAAATACTCCCTCCGTCTCGCTAAGATTGTCCCGTTTTACCTTTTCGGGAAGTCCTACTAAGATTGTCTCATACCAAATTTGGTAAAGATTGTGTGGCTCTAAATCATTCTTACTTTATTCTTACTCTAAAGTTTGTGTCCCACACAAACTCACTTTTCTTAATAATCGTGCCACCTTCTCTCGTCCCAATCTTAGTGGGACGGAGGTAGTAACATTTTCATTCATTTTCAAATTATAAATTTTTTTGTATATAAACATATTATCGGTCAAAATTTAGCATCACTAACCGGAAAGTAAAAAAAGGCTAAACAAGATGGTGTAGGGAGTTTTTTATATAGCCTTGCAATCATTCAAGAGAAAAGAGGCTAACAGAGCATATATAGCATTCAAATTGTTTCTATATTATAAGCTTACAAAGTTAAAACTAGTCACGCGGGTAAAAATATGATGAGCAACTAAAAGCACCCATTTATGCTTTCAAGGATAAATAGTTTTAAAGCCCATGCCATGCACAGTTCTATATTACTCCGTATAACCTTACAATGTTAAAACTAGTCACGCGGGTAAAAATATGAAGCTTTAATGCAAAATCCAAATATGCAAATTTACATTTAAACTTTTGCACAGTTGAAATGCAAATTTTCCAGTTTTTTATAAGCACATTTCCATTTTACATGATGCATTGATGGGAATTTTAAAATTACTTATTCTCAAAAGAAGAAACAGGGAAACGTGGCAGCATAGTTCTATGGCTAGTGGTTACTAGTTTCATGCTTTTATTTACTTTATTCTTATCTATTAGGTTGTTATCTTTAAGTTGAGAAATAAGTGGATCTTCCTACTACTACGTAGGAGTTGATTAGTAGTGCTCAACTATTTCCCTATTTTCCATCCATGTAATATTTCTAAATAGGCTCTTTGCCTCATGAATAAATCATCAACATTCCAAATACAATATTATTTGCTGGAGATTCTCCTTTGGTCTTTCTTTAAGTAAGTGTGAGATTCTTGCCTTACTGATAGAAGATTTGTCACTCTTAATATTCCTTTTTCTTTACTTAATTTCTTGGTTCTATCAATTTGGTATCAGAGCCATGGTTGAAACCAGGTCTTCACGCAATCCCCCTCCACACGAGAACCTGTTTGCGGGAGAAAATGAGCCTTTGATCACCATAGTCGAGCGCCTTCGGAATCTGGAGATTCTTGCTGATAGAGTCGCCAGTCTCAAAAACTCAGATCGGAATCACTGGCAGGGAAAGAGCAGGTCTCACAAGGAGGCCGACAGTGACGATGACCAAGAATCAACGGGTCGAAGATTCCTACCACATACCAAGATCGAATTCTCTAAATTCAACGCGGGTGACCCTAGGGGCGGATCCTAAAGGCAGAAAAATACTTTAGAATATTACGAGACTCCTGAAGAGATGAAGTGGAGGTTGCTGCTATGTACGTGGAGGGTGATGCGCTTGACCTATTCTATTGGGTCAACGGGGAAAGGTCAATATTATACTGGGATGAATTGCTCAAGGCACTGCAGGAAAGTTACGACCCTCTAAAATATCAAAATCCAGATGAATTCTTGTGTAGCATTCAAATTCTTGTGTAGCATTCAACAATCTGGGTGTGGCAGAATTTCGAACATAATTCATATGTCGCTCAGCGCATGTGAAGAACTCGCCACAACATTATCTCCTAGGCGTGTTCATTAACGGACTGAAAGAGGAGCTCAAAGCTGACATCAGGAGTCGTCTTCCTCGCACTGTGTTCAGGGCCACCAGTCTCGCACTAGAGTAGGAGAAGAAATTAGCCCATACTGCTAGGCCCAAGCCCAATTCATCCATTTTCAAGAATCGTGTCAACTTCAACAGCTTCCAAGTCTCGATAATCATAAACAAATCATCCAACCCAACCTCTTCAGGCGTCAAGCCCACTCCGCAAGTGATGTCTTCCGAGCACCAACGTCGTCGTGAGAAGGGGCTTTGTTTCAGGTGTGGTAATCCTTTTCCGTCTTGGACACAGGTGCAGAGGATAGTTCTTGATGGAAATAGTTGAGGAAAATGAAGAAGTTATTCCTCCTCAATATGATAAATTGATACTGGCACAAATGCAACAGAGGCTGAATTTTCCTTCAACGCTATATTGGGCAAAGCTTCAGCAATCCACCATGATGTTGTTGGGTTCTGTACAAAACCGGGATGTTTTAATTATAGTAGATAGCGGTTCTACCCATAATTTTATATCTGAAGCATTGGTGACAGAATTGAAGCTTCTTGTACAACTCATTCCGTCATTTGGGGTTCAAATAGGCAATGGCAGCACAATTAAGTGCAATCGTGTGTGTGCTGCTCTAGAAATTAAAGTTTTGGATTTATTGATCAAGCAAGAATTCTTTCCTTTCTCCCTGGGTGGTGCTGATCTGGTTTTGTGAATCAAGTGGTTAGCTTCTCTGCACACCACCCAAGCAAATTGGAAGGAAATGTTCATGATATTTTGGCTCCATGAGAAGGCTGCAAGAGGTAACTTCTAAGCCCCAAAAGGGTGTTCATCTACCGAGCCTATCATTAGATTCGGAGCATCTAAATTCTCAAGTATCTTTGCCAAACCCCATATGCTGCCTCCTGCCAGGAATCATTATCATTCCATCATTCTCAGGGCAAATGAGAATCCACCCAACTTGAGACCCTATCAATACCCTCATTCTCAAAAAAATGAGATTGACGTCCAAGTTGCTGAACTACTAAAGTAAGGTTTGTGAGGCCCAGTTCGAATCCCTTTACATGTCCAGTTCTGTTGGTTAGAAAGAAGGATAGTACATGAAAGAGTGACCCATTTATTACTTACAGCTTTTTAGATTCCAAAAAAATGACCATATTTATCTTTTCCCAAAACGTAACCCATCTGTTCACGTCACACACTCGTACGTACCAGACCAGCGATTGATTTTCCATCCCTTCTTCTTCCTCATTTGCTCTTCATCACTCCTTCGCATTTCATCGCAACTTTTTGACCTCCTTCCATCAAATCTACAACGCCACCGCGCCTCCCTCAACCATCTACCGCTTCTACCTTCTGTCCAAACAGCTGCCACCGAACCTCTTTCTCTGATATCTTTGCATCGCTGGAGCCACGGTGCATTCGACCGAGCCTCCTAGCCACATCGACTGCAAGAGCCTCGCAGTTGCGGCTCCCGCCTACCTGCATCGTCTTTCTTCATCAATTCGAAGCTACATATCCAGATCTGCGACGACTAGGGCTTCGAGGATGCTGCAATTTCGTCTTGTTGCTCCGCCACCACTAGTTCAGATGTTCGGAAGATGAGGACGGAGTGTAGATATGGTGCAACGTTTGTAAAGGGGCTGGTCAGGGCTAGATCTGACTGTTTGGGTGCGGTTTGGGCTAGATCGATTTGGGGTGAGGGAGCTGGCGGTCGGGCTGGGGGCTGTGGAGGTGGCAGGGGGATTGGGGAGGTGACTGGGTCTGGGGTGGTGGTGGGCGACGACGGTCCACAGTGATGGTCAGCAGCGGCGCTAGGGCAGGGTGAGCTGGGGACGGGGCTCGGGGGATGTGAGGAGTAGGGGAGGATAGGGTTGGGGACACAGGAGACGTCAATCACTGTGACCGGAGAAAGGCGTGTCGTCACATTTTCGGAATTTTTAAAAACATATCACTTTTTGTCTTTTATCTTATTTTTAGTAATATCTAGGCCAAAAGGTCATAATACATGGCGCCTTTGCATTGACTATCGACGCCTAAATCAGATCACCATCGCAGATAAGTATCCCATCCCCAATATTGATGAACTGCTTGATGAATTAAATGAGGCTACATATTTTTCAAAAATGGATTTGAGATTTAGTTACCACCAAATACTCGTAGCACCCTCTGATATTCCCAAGACTGCATTTCAATATCACTCAGGGCATTATGAATTTGTGGTAATGCCCTTCGGTCTTAATAATGCACCTTCAACTTTTCAGTCTGTTATGAATGATTTGTTTAGATCGCAATTGAGACAGTTTGTGCTAATCTTCTTGGATGATACACTGCCATATAGTCCCACAGCTCACCAGCATGTAGAGCACTTGAAAACTGTCTTTCAGCTTTTAGAGGAGCATTCTTTCTATGCAAATGCAAAAAAATGCTCACTGGGGCAGTCCCGAATTGAATATTTGGGACATATTCTCACATGCAAGGGGGTGGAGGTGGTTCTAGATAAAGTTCCAGTTGTCATCTCTTGGCCCCCACCCTCCAACGCGAAGGAACTGAGGGGTTTTCTGGGGGCTCACCGGGTACTATAGATGGTTTGTGAAGAATAAAAGAACTATGGGCTGATTGCACGTCCTCTGACTGAATTAACAAAAAGGGGGAGTTTTTTCATTGACTGCACAAGCCCAAGCTGCTTTTGATACTCTCAAAGAGGCCCTGACCACTACTCCAGTTCTGAGGCTTCCTAACTTCAAGCTCTCTTTCACTATCGAGTGTGATGCGTCTATGGATGGAATAGAAGCGGTGCTTATGCATAAATAGGCTCTTTGCCTCATGAATAAATCATCGACATTCCCTACTCTCCTGATAGAAGATGTGTCACTCTTAATTTTCCTTTTTCTTTACTTAATTTCTGGGTTCTATCATGCACGATACCCAAATCCAATGCTCCGGAATCATTCTCATTTCTCTCCTAAGATGGTATACACATATGCATATATACACATATGTGTGACAGTGTGAGGTACTAAAAGTGCAATCCCCTATTACTATTATTATTACTAGTTTACTACTACTACTACTATTATATTTATATAAGCTTACAATTAGCTAAGAGGATAAAAGAACATGTGTAGCATTGAAATTGTTTCCATATTATAGCAAGACCTATCAACTTGACGCCTAAATAGGCACAAGCCCGAAACATGACTGAAAGCTTGATGAATATCACAGTTCAAGAGTAAAAAAGGAAGGAGATTAGAAGATTTTGGAACCTACAGCCTCCATAAGAGAGTCAGTGAGTTCCCTTTCATGGGCAGTGTTCTCTATGATTGGTACCACAAGTTCATCATAGTAACCATGCCCTTGAATTCCTTTAATCATTTCCATGTGAGTGATCTGCAAATTAAATAGCACAATCTTATCAGAAGAGAAGAACATCTGTGCAGTCCACCACAACATAAGTGCATGAGAAGAATATACACTCTGAGATGCTAAAACAAATATTGTTGACACTCCTCCCGTTCCGAACCGTCAACATCACAAAGCATCAAATTTCAAAGGCTTAAAAAAGTTTTTCATCACTGCATATACTGATATACAGAATTTTTAATTAGATGCCAGCAAACTTATTTTTTTTGTTAAGTTGTTACTTGATATCAGTCCCTCTAGTTCATGTTGTTTTCTTTTTATCCGCTCCTTGTCAACCTTCGTTTAAAAAAACCGACATGGATCGCACAAATTCTATCGCTCAGTATGGACTAAATTTTATATATGCTTGTGTGTATCCACACATACATACAGATATACAATCGTAAGATCATGCAAATCCCCACCCGAAATTCTTTGGCAGATGGATTCATCATTGTTACAAGGCAAGATTCCATTCCATGACTATGGATAACAGCCCCAGCATTACGCATCTCATATGCCTGCAAAATGAAAACCAGACGTGAGAAGACTTGACCAAGAGTTCTAACCAAACACTATATTCACATACATTCATTAGCAAGTAAACCAACAGCCTTAGATACAACAACATCCAAACCTTAATCCTAAAAGAGTTTGGGATCGGCCAACATGAATTGACATATGACATCAGAGTTTTGAACAATAAAGAGAGAAAAAGGGAGACAAATATAATCATATTAAACCTTCAACGTATATTCTTCCTTCACTTCACCCTCTCCAAAGTCTCATACTCTCATCTAACACAAGAAGTATCATAGCATTCTTGACCACTCTAATCCACGTCTATCTAAATCGTCCTCTCCCTCTCCTTTCTGCCTCCTCCCCACCAACAACCTTAAATGCTGCGAAAAACAAATTGCAGTGTTGAGTTGTTAATTTTCATACAACATGATTTTGTACTTAATTAATACCTTCATTTCTAAAGATTTCATGCATGTTAAGGAGCCCTCGTAAATGGCTAACATGTTCTTATTTATGTCTAGATAGTAGTTACAAATTCCAATTATTCAGTATACTATGCCGCAATAAAGCATTTGATTTTGAGTGGATTAAATCAACACACACAAATTTGGGTGAAAAATGAAAATCCCCTACTGAAGTTGTATGATAAAAATTATTTGGGAAGATAACATGACTTTCAAAATAACAATTACATTGGGTGTTGGGACAATTTTGTGGCTACGATGACAAGTTGACAACGACTTTGGGGCAAAGGGACTATGACCTTAAAAATAATGAGTGTGTCATACTTAAATTTAAGAATTTGTTGCAAAAAACATTGTGTGAAAACAAAACACAATAGCACAAAAGAAAAGTCAAGTTTTAAACCCCCTAGCGTATCAGAAAAGAACACAAAATAGATACTTACACACTAGCGCCTAGCTAAAGTTGCCACTATTTCAATTTAAAAATACACTCAACCTTCGCCATTTTAGTGTAAATTAAAAAGCCAAAAAACTGCAATTACAACATTAATGAGTCACTGCACCTTCAAAAACAGAGGACCACAATCAGAACATTTGGGAGGCTTATATGGGTAAGGCTTGGCAGATGGTTCAGATAAAATTAACCCACTTGGAGACAACACATACATGTCCTCGTCGAGCATTCTTTCCTTCTGTACTCCTGTCAAGCCTTAAAATCATGAGCTCATATAATTAAATATAAATAGCGAAATAAATTCAAAATCAATAAAATAGACATTGAAAACTGGGGAAAGGTTTTATGTATTGATTAAAGAGTCTAGAATATATGATACCAGATGGGGACATGACAATAAGCTGTTGGGGTCTAGGAATAGAGTCATCGTGGACTTTGATGGTGATGCTACCGCCGGTACCAGAGACCCAGCCCTGAGTGTAGAAGTGGCGGCATAGGTCCGATATCAGCGCCTTGGTCTCTTGGACCTTGCCGCTTTCAATATATGCTTGTGAGGTAGTGGCCATTTTCACGGCGCCGTTCACCACCGGTGGGGTGGCCATCTTCGATTGCAATATATGTGGGGTGTTTCTAAACTAGTAAAAGATTTGAGATTTTTCTTTCAAATTTATGTGCGCTTACTAATTCAAATCACACTATCAATTGATGATATCATCTATCTTCATGTAATATTGATATACATAAAAGCATTAAACGAAACACACTTATAATATTATGGTCAAAATGATAGTACTAAGCATTACTTAAAAGATCAAAAACATCCTACAAATACGTTGAAACCATAACATTGTAAATATGCATTTAACGTAAACCTATACATCGTTGAACACTTCTTTGAGTACAACATTCTGAGTCTTGTCAGTGGTTCCTTCATCCTTACCAACAATTAGAATTTTCAAACCACAACGATTTGTAACCCTTGATACTGCAACATACAACTGTCTGTGGGTAAATACCGGTTTTTTCAACAACAACCCAACACAGGACAAATATTGACCTTGACTTTTATCGTAACAGGATATTTTCAACTATGAAATTTAAAAGGCAAGCTGGCATCGGATGGCGTCAAGGACAATCTAGAAATTAATACTTTTTGTCCAACACTCACACCAGTGAGTCCAGAGGCCGATTATCGTGAAAGACAACACTTTGTTCTTTTGGCAAATGGAAGCTCAATCTTTCAACTGTCGGGGTCTTATATTGAATTTCAAACCCAAGTATGCGCCAAGCAGCCTCACACACAGAAACGTATCTACAGTCATAGTACATATGTATCTCATCGACCGATCGAGCATCGCACGGTTGGTGATTTCTTTCCTAAAAATTGTACATAACTACACAATACATGTACTATTGAAAGAGTCTCACCTTAGAGGAAATGTGTTGAACGCTCGTGCGATGCATGGTTGGTAAAACTCCACAGTTGTGCAGATATGTGAAAACACATATCTGGGGGGTGCATTTATGGTGACTATACATATCTCAATTCTCAAGTAATATGGTGACTATGCATTTATGCGAATTGCATTTTTTTACACGAATTGCTCTGGTAAATTGGCAAATCAGGGGGGTGCAGATATGTGAAAATACTTATGTCATTCTTAGGGTGTTTTTAATTGGTTTGAATGTTTCTGATCTTATCTGAATTGCTCTGGTTTGTTTAAGTTTGGTTTGGTCTGAGACTGAAATAAGTCTAAGTATAAACATCTCAAGTAATATGGTGACTATGCATTCATGCGAATTGCATTTTTTACACGAATTGCCCTGGTAAATTGGCAAAGCAGGGAGGTGCATATATGTGAAAATACTTATGTCATTCTTAGGGTGTTTTTAATTGGTTTGAATGATTTTGATCTAGTCTGAATTGGTCTGGTTTGTTTAAGTTTGGTTTGGTCTGAAACTGAAATAAGTCTAAGTATAAACATCTCAAGTAATATGGTGACTATGCATTTATGCGAATTGCATTTTTTACATGAATTGCCCTGGTAAGTTGGCAAATCAGGGGGTGCATATATGTGAAAATACTTATGTCGTTCTAGGGTGTTTTTAATTGGTTGGAATGTTTTTGATCCGGTCTGAATTGGTATGGTTTGGTCTAATCTGGTAGATGTATGATCTTCGTGTATTTTATAAATGTTGAAGTCTTGTCTGATGTGGTCTGATCTGTTTAAGGCTAATCTGGTTTGTTCTGATTTGTAACAAAAATAAGTTCAAGTAAAAACATCCTTAAACTACACTTCAATATAAATTTGTCCAAAAATGATTAAATAATGTTTATATAAGTTTTTCTTCTATTTTAAATAAGTGAGATGAATGTTTAAAAAAAGTTAGTTGAATTCCTATATGAAAGAATAATGGGTTTTGAGCACATTTAATTTTAAAACATATTTAATCAAGCCATAATAATGATGTACGTAGTACCATGTAGTTCTCTTTGCCTCTGTCTGCATGAAATCGTAAATTTTGTATTTAGCAATAAAGTTAGTTTAAGACAAAAATATGAGTAATGAAATGGACTACCCACATCACTCATTCATTTTCCAGTGGGTCCAATGCTTATTCTGTAGAAACGTATCTACAGTCATAGTACATATGTATCTCATCGACCGATCGAGCATCGCACGGTTGGTGATTTCTTTCCTAAAAATTGTACATAACTACACAATACATGTACTATTGAAAGAGTCTCACCTTAGAGGAAATGTGTTGAACGCTCGTGCGATGCATGGTTGGTAAAACTCCACAGTTGTGCAGATATGTGAAAACACATATCTGGGGGGTGCATTTATGGTGACTATACATATCTCAATTCTCAAGTAATATGGTGACTATGCATTTATGCGAATTGCATTTTTTTACACGAATTGCTCTGGTAAATTGGCAAATCAGGGGGGTGCAGATATGTGAAAATACTTATGTCATTCTTAGGGTGTTTTTAATTGGTTTGAATGTTTCTGATCTTATCTGAATTGCTCTGGTTTGTTTAAGTTTGGTTTGGTCTGAGACTGAAATAAGTCTAAGTATAAACATCTCAAGTAATATGGTGACTATGCATTCATGCGAATTGCATTTTTTACACGAATTGCCCTGGTAAATTGGCAAAGCAGGGAGGTGCATATATGTGAAAATACTTATGTCATTCTTAGGGTGTTTTTAATTGGTTTGAATGATTTTGATCTAGTCTGAATTGGTCTGGTTTGTTTAAGTTTGGTTTGGTCTGAAACTGAAATAAGTCTAAGTATAAACATCTCAAGTAATATGGTGACTATGCATTTATGCGAATTGCATTTTTTACATGAATTGCCCTGGTAAGTTGGCAAATCAGGGGGTGCATATATGTGAAAATACTTATGTCGTTCTAGGGTGTTTTTAATTGGTTGGAATGTTTTTGATCCGGTCTGAATTGGTATGGTTTGGTCTAATCTGGTAGATGTATGATCTTCGTGTATTTTATAAATGTTGAAGTCTTGTCTGATGTGGTCTGATCTGTTTAAGGCTAATCTGGTTTGTTCTGATTTGTAACAAAAATAAGTTCAAGTAAAAACATCCTTAAACTACACTTCAATATAAATTTGTCCAAAAATGATTAAATAATGTTTATATAAGTTTTTCTTCTATTTTAAATAAGTGAGATGAATGTTTAAAAAAAGTTAGTTGAATTCCTATATGAAAGAATAATGGGTTTTGAGCACATTTAATTTTAAAACATATTTAATCAAGCCATAATAATGATGTACGTAGTACCATGTAGTTCTCTTTGCCTCTGTCTGCATGAAATCGTAAATTTTGTATTTAGCAATAAAGTTAGTTTAAGACAAAAATATGAGTAATGAAATGGACTACCCACATCACTCATTCATTTTCCAGTGGGTCCAATGCTTATTCTATTAAACAAAATTAGGAACCATACATTGACACATATATTCAAAAACAAATATCCATACTCCGTGTTCAAATTCTAGAATTTTAGAATACACAAATACCCACCTGGCCACCTCCACTGACACTACACATGTACTTTGTATATTTTCTAGATGGGGTTTCCAAGACATCTCCCTTCTCCACTCTCTCGATCCCCCCTGCTCGTCGCTTTCGATTTTAAGACACAAATGCCGTTTGTAATCTCCACCGCCTGACTTTCACCGGTGACTTCCCCCATTTTTACCCCCAGCTGCCTAGGTAGTCTGATTGTCGCCGGTTTGAAGACCTGTAGTAGAGTTGTCTCGATCTGCTCGCGAGGGTCGGATATATGTTCGCAAGTGCTGGCGGACGCGACCTCCAATCGACGAATTGAGAGCAACCCACGTCCTCCGTCCAGAATCGTAGCTCTGAAAAGTCTGCAACTGCGCTGCATCAACCGCCACGCGCTGACGCTGGAGGAACGACGCTCGGCTCTGACACACGGAAAACTGGAGACCCATCTCGGATCTCTCGGATCTTGGTGTATTATCTTTGATTCCATCTGAATATGAGGCTATTACCATCGATGTGAAACAATATATGAGGTATTAGACTATGGCAGTCTTCCTTGCATTATACCCCTTCTTTTTTGTCCTTCCAGATGGACGGAGGCCTTTGTCTCTTAAAAGGTAATTTCTTCCTGTTTTTATTTCTTTTTTTTTTTTCAAACTCATATCCCTAATTACATGCACAGATTCAAGAGATGTGTACCTATTAAGTCGGGTCTGTCTGGCGGAGTTTGTGTAGATCTTAAGGCCAGATCTTGAATCTCAACAGTCTCCCTTACCTTTTTATTTTATGAAACTATTTAAACATCAATATTTCATTGACAGGTACAGTCTGAATGGAGAATATATACTACACACGCATTTTCAGCTTCATTTAATTTATTATAATATTCTTAATGTATACATGATATGCACATACTACACACGCATGTGGGAGTATACACAAACACACCCACATATAGATCAAGTACCTCCATTACATTTTAATATAAGCTGTACTCTGAATATTTACACCATTACATACTTTAAAAATTATAAAAAAATGATTTTATGAAATATTAGTTCACATAAATTTTAGAACTTGCACACTATATTGAATATGAGCTTGTGTAATGTGATTGAAATATAATCCCATAGGACTTTTGTAGAATACCTTTATGTATGCATATGGAAACCAAAAGTTCCTTTCAAGTATTCCTATTAGTTTAAATAAATGTTTTATAAACTACCCAGGTTACCAAATAGGAAGATGATACTACATTATACGAAGTATACAACTGACTTGTCCTTGTGTAGAACTCACTTGACTTGCTTACATACCTTTTTTTTTCAAGTGAGGTAATTTTTTTTTACTCAAGTAAATGATGGTATTTATTAGCATGTTCTTCCTTTAACACATCAATGTCCGTTGAGGTAGAGTATCTATATGATAGAATTTTAATATGATACATTGTGTTATATATGTGTGTATGGACATATGAACGCACACCAATATACATATATGTGTGTGTGTATGTGCCCATCTTGCCACTCCTTTTCACTTCTTGGTCTTTCATTCTCAGTCTTTTCCAAGACCATCAATTTGCATACTTGAGTTGACCGTTTGAATCTCTGAATCATCTTAGCCAAGACACAACCACATACAGAGTACTTGTTGAGGAA